TCGTCGCTCGCGTCGTCGCCGTCCTCCATCCTCCCTCGTTGTCGTCGTTGTCGTCGTTGTCGTCGTTGTCGCCGTCGTCGTCCTCCCTCCTCCCTCGTCGTCGTTTTCGTTGGCGACGTCGTCGTCTTCGTCTTCGCCGTCGGCGTCGGCGTCGGCGTCGTCGTCGTCGGCGTCGTCGTCGTCGTCGCCGTCGTCGTCGTCGTCGTCGTCGGCCGTCTTGCGTCTCCGGCCTTCTTGGGGCGCTCTTGAGACGCCCCCGAGGCCTCCAAGACGACACCAGAGCGATATCTGTGCTCGGTCCCGCATGGGTTTTGCAAACCAAGTTGCGGGTGGGCTGGTGGGATGATTGCGCGAGCAGTGGAGTTGACAACTTCAAGATCGGCAAATGAATTTACCCAATAGAAGCCGCCCCCCGCTGGATCGTCAACGCGGTTCGTTGGACAACGCCTCCCAAGTCCCACAGGTCTCGCAGGTCCCACAAGTCCCACAAACCCCACAGGCGCCACAGGTCGCACAGGCCCCACGGGTCCCGCAAGCCCTACAGGGCCCGCAGGTCTTTCGCAGGTCCTAACGAGGCCGACGTGTTGCACAGGTCCCACAGGTATTACAGGCCCCTCAGTTCCCACAGTTCTCGCAGGTCGCACAGGTCGCGCAAAACCCACCGATCCCGCAAGTCGCCCAGGTCGCGCATGTCCCGCAAGTCCCACAAGTCGCGCAAGTTCCACAGGGGCACAAATCTCACACGTCCCACAAGACCCACAGGGCGGCACTCTGACAGACGAGAGGAAATCGCGCGGAAACAAAATACTTAGGCAGAGTAACTCATCCCCGTGAAATAAATATAACAAAAGTGGCACAGTGATGGAAACCGAAATAATGTTGAATCCGACTAGGCGGGGCTCGTCGCATCAAGTGGTACCCGCTCGTCAGCGCTGCATGTTCGCCATCCGAGTGCGGGGGCGAAACCGCAAGGCAGAACGTGGCACCACCCACGCCAGCGGCCCTGTAAAGGATGAACCTGGAAGAGCACCCGGGCATTATCTGGCGTCCGCCTCCCAATGTTGCCACTGGGCGCGCAAGCCAAAGCGCGGCATATCGATGACCTGGCTCATGGTGCGCTCCTGCGCACGCTGCCAACATTGAACGGCGAATGTCACTTAATGATCCTCTGTGGGCGCTGCCGTCTGCACATTCATTCACGATGATCGTCTTGTTGAGTTTGCTATGATTTTTCATGGCTGTGTATCGTCGAGACAGAACAACATGACGCCCAGCGGTGACCTGACTCTTGAATGTGGAAATGCAGTACAGGCACTGACAGGTGATGACAAAGATGTGTGGAGGAACTCAATGTTTATGACTCGGATGGTGACGCTGGTGAGTAATGAGGGCCCCACGATTGTAGAACGTCATGCCACACTTGCTGTCCTCCTGGTCGCCAGGCAACTCGCAGAAGTACTCCTGCAGGGTTTCGTCAGGGGCGCCCGTCGTGTCCCCAGGGGTGCCTCTGCTGGAGCCTCTGAACTCAGTGCCCTGTCGGAGCTTCTGGCGGTCAAAGCTACAGAACTTAGCGGCGACGATGGGACGGGTGAAGGTGTCTCTCACTGTGTAGGTGGTCAAAAAGTCCTCGCCTCCACGTAAGTTGCGAAGCGCCTGTGCATCGCGCTCGACTTGGAGCGCCCGGCGAAAGAGGAGGCAAGGGTAGAGCCCTAACAACTAGAAAGGCCACATGATAGCAAAATCTACCTGGCCCCCAGCCGTTAACGCCTATGCTTGGCGCGAGTCTTACGTATAGGAGTCCCCGCGCAAGCCAAGCCCAGCGCAATCGTTCGATGCGGAAACCCACGCGGCAGGGACACCCAGCGCAACTGTTTTGTTCTGCTGTCCATACGCCACGAGGCCCTGGCAAGACCGCAAAGACTGCATGACAACCAGAGGTTCCCAAATACCCCACCTCCCGAAGCCTCATGCACACAGTTATCCCAAGATGCAAACTATCCCCAACAGCACTCCACATTTTCCCCCGTAGGGGAGTTACTGGTGTTACTCAGGGGGTTCAGCGCGGGACTGGGGGCGGTGACTTTGGACACCCGAGATGAGCACGAAAAAATGCACGATGCTCAACGGTAAGCGTTATCCAAAACCACCCACACACACATGCCTCTCCTCCAGCGCTGTGGGTTACGAGCGCGTTATAGGCTAACGAACTCACTCCGTTCCATCCTCCACTCAAAGACACATGTCCTCCTTCCTACTCCCTCGTGACACGTACGCGCACACGAACTCTCTATCTCTCTGTCTCTCGCTCTCTCTCTCTCTGTCTCTCTCTCTCTCTCTCTCAAACCAACACATTATGTCATTCTCTCTCTCTCTCTCACGCACAAGCGCGTGCACTATCCCTCCATCCATCCCTCCAGCCCTACTCTTTCTTCTTATTCCTTCCTCCCTCCCCCTCCTCCTCCTCTTTTCAGCGGCGAGCGAAGGGGGGGAGTGAAAAGGAGGAGGCCTTCTCAGAAGGCGGCAGGGCCTCTCAGAAGCCCTCCGGCCTTCTGAAAAGTGTTTTGTGTCTTCGGGGAGGGCTTAGAAAGTTTCTCAGCAGGCTGGGGGACTTCCGCGCCCCCTGGGAAAGCAGTTTCCTTCTCACGTCCTCCCCAGGTGCGCCGCCGCACGATAGCCTGCGAGCACCGCGTGGAACTGCGAACGCTGACGAAAAGCCCGTAAGCGTCACAATCAACCAGCGAGCACCACAGCATGCCTGCGAACGGGTTTCGGGAGTGACCGCTGCGGGGGAGGGGGGGCGGTTGGGGGGGTAGCACGCGTCACGCCCAGGACGACACAATAGATACGTAACGACCACCAAGAAGACCGTAAGCACACGGCATCTCACAGGAACATCATGCTGATGGTTCTGACCATTGCCACACGCGGCACCATGTGGGCAACGGACTCGTCACTGCACTACACGGACAATGCAACCAATAAGAAAAGCAAAGGCACCGCGCAAAGGCATCATAACAGAGAAACGGAGACACGACAGCAAGGGCAACACTCGCCAACGTGCTGGCGACGGGCCGAAGAGCTCGGAACGCGGCACCACTCGGGCAGCGGACCCAAGGACAAGGGGTACGTCACTACACGGAACCACGCACGCAACGGACCGAGGGTTGGGGACATGCCCAATAAGGCACCGCACGGACAACGTGGCCGAGAGTCAGCTGGACACGTGGCACAACGCGCCAAGCACAGAAATCAGAGAAGAGAAGACTGACACCGCACGCAACAACGCGGGCAGCGGACCCGAGTCCTAGGGACAAACGCCACGCGGTAAACGGACATGACGACATGATACACAACGAGACAGCACGGCACGACGCCGCACGGGCACCCGAACATTAAGCAACTGAGTGACACGCGGCACCGCACGACGCTACGCTACGCAGACACAACGGAACTTGTACGCGGGGGCACGGTGCAGCATGGCACCACAAGAGGCACGGAAGCGGCCGTTGCGCGCACGGCAGCGCATGCTGCGGCACGCTCGTACCGTAACAACTCGTACGGTACAGCACGCTCGTATCATATCGTCTGACACCACGTGGGTCGCAGAAAGCTTGCACAATCGCGGCGCGGCTTTCCGATTGCGCAGACCACTTGGTTGGAGGCCTCCCAAGTGGGGTCCGAACAGATGGGGTCAATGGATCGAACCGCATCGCCGCTACATCCCCGAAGCATCAGCGACGTCGGCGACGCATCGGCGCCGACGGCGTGGCGGCTCGATCTTCCGACCACATCTACTTCGACCCCCTTTTGGGCGGCCTGGTCGATATCATAATCGCCCGATTCAAGACAACTGGCGACGTTTAACAGCAAACGCCCGCGCTGGGTTCTCCGCCGCGTCGACGCGGAGCGACCCTGCAAGTACCGCACCCAGGCTGGCTACAGATCCAGAGGGCTGGCGCAAGCCAAGGAGGAGGGGGTTGGCAACGGCGGCGCTTGGCGGCGAGCTCGGGGGCAAGTGAGCGGGGGCAGGCCTTCTCAGAAGCTGGCGGGGCGTCTCAGAAGCCCTCGCGCCTTCTGAGAAGGTCTCTGCGTTTTCGGAGAAGTCTTAGGACACTTCTCAGAAGGCCCGAGGCCTTCCGAGCTTTCTGAGAAGGCCCGCCCCCTCTAACTTCCCTCCTGGGCTCGCCGCCGAGGCACAGGGCGAAGCTTTCGGATCCGCGCGCAAAGTACCCACAGGCACTTCGCCGCCCAGGGTCCTTCAGTGGCTTTTTCCCCAAGACTGTCCAAGATGGCCCTGGTCGGAGATAGCCCAGGTGGCCTCCAAATTGGCTACAGATGCTTCCAACACGGCCCAAGAGGTTCCCAAAACGACACGGGGTGGCATCAAGACTGCCCATGAGGTCCCCTAGACCCCTGAAGAGGCCTCCTCAAGGGTCCCAAGAGGGCATCCGAGAGGCAACACACGTTGAAAACGGGAAATGTGTTTCTATGGTGTTCGAACTCTCTCCTTTTCTGCATCAAGATAGTCCAAGGGGATCCAAGGGGCACCCCAAAGTCCAGCCCAAGACAACCGGAAGGCGCCCAAAGAGGACCCCCAGACGGCACAAGAGGGCCACAAGGCAGCCCAGAAGAGCCCCAAATGCCAGAAGACAGCCCCCAAGTCGCCAGACGTTCCAGGAGCGCCCCAAGAAGACAGCCCAAGAAGGCCCCAAGATAATCCAGGAAGGCCCCGAGAAGGCCCAAGAGGGCCCGAAAAGAGCTCCAGGGCAGCCCCGCGACGGCCCTGGAGGGCCCCTCAGGGAGATGAATCACACATCGATGATCGGCGACTTAATGCCTGCCGTTGAGGGCATGCCTGCGGATCCCGGCCCTGCGGAACGCTATCAGCGCTTCTAGCATATGGAACGCCAGAACCTGTCACGCAAGCGCCTACACCTTGAGCCGGTACTCCTAAACTCGTCCAAAAGGCAGGGGAGTCGGCGACTCGCCGTAGGCGTCTCCAATTCAAAGCGTTCCAGCCAGTACGGAGGTCGAACTTCATGCTTGGCGCCCACTCGTTCGGATTGGGATAGGGCGCGTGCGACATCTCCCAGTGGTTGAGCGCGACGCCGAAGCGGCTGCAAATGGGGTGCACGACGAGCGTGTCAACCACCCGCAAATCATCCCTCGGGAAATCCGTCTGGGCATCCGTCACCTGCGGGAACGGGGGCCCTCCAACGGCCACCTTAAGACGAAGCCAGGACGAAGATAACATCAAGCGAGGATAGATCCAGAGTCTCTGAGATCCGGCCGCTCTGGGGGATGTCTCGGGCGCCGCGGCCTTCTCTGAGCGTTCCGGAACGCTCTGAGAGCGTTCTGGAACGCGCTGGAATGGATGTATCCTCGTCCTAGCCCCGTCCGACGCCTTGTCCCACATCACGGGCAAGCACTTCGAGGCCTCGTGCAGGAGCGACGCCCTCTCCGGCACGCGCCCGCGCGAGCCCGCCCGGCAAGGGAGCAGAGCCTGGGCCCGGACCAGCCTACCGATCTTCTCTGCGGCGGGCCTGCCCCCGATCTGGCCCACGAAGATGTAACCCTCTTCGGGGCGCGCGTTCCTCACCGCCTTGGCGCCTGCCCTCCTCAGGGCCAGCACCGTCTCCTCCTTGGAAACACTTGCCATCGCTCGGACGTCACTTTAAGTGCATTTGTCGGTTTCGTGCGTGCTGTTTTTGCTCGATGATCCAGGATGCTCCTCGATGGCCCTCGCCGAGAAAGAAGTGCACACGTCCAAGAGATGCTAAAAACAAATGAAACTGCGAAAACATAGACTGTCGGAGGTCCGCACGGGTTTCTTGGATCTGCGCCGAGCTCCCCTTCCTGGGGCGCGGAGCGCGCCCGGAGGGGCGCGCTGGAGGCTCCAGCACGGACGCCAGAGATCCACGCGGAGTTCCGAAAATTTATATTGATGTCGCTCTTTTCCCTCGACTCCTTGAGGCCCGCCATTCCGTCGCCCTTGACCGCGATCAACACCACGGTGCCAGTCGGCAGGTCCCCAAGGTCGCGCACCAGCTCGGTCTCACCGTTGACGGCCCCCTTGAACAGCCAGCCGCCCCGGGTGTAGACCGACTGGGAGAGCACGCCCTGCGTGTCTGGGTCGACCGTGACCATGTGGATCCCCTCATGGGTAGACATATGCGTTCCACTACTTGGAAAAAGCTGTTCGCAAATGGCCTGGATCTGCCTCGAGGCAAACAAGAGACGAACGCCCGTCCAACTCGAGTCGAGCTCGAGTCGAGCTTAATTCTAGACGCTTCGCGTAACCCCACCAGCCCGTAGCCCTCTGGCTCAAGCCGTCTCTGGGCCCCAGCCCCTCGGCCGGGTCTCCCAGCTCCAGGGGACTCCCCCTAGGAGTTTTCAGGCCGCGCGCTCCCCCCCCGGGCGGCCATAGCAGACTCCCTGGGTTCCTCTTCTTCGGCTTCACGCAGCAGCTCGGCCCACGTCGGGCTTAGCATGGATGGGAGACCGATCGACGACGGTCCTGACTTCCCTGGGGCGACGACGACCGTGACGCCAGTGGACGACCGCGTGGCCAACGGACTGGCGGACGGTAGGCATCCTCACCCTGGATCGCAGGACGCCGTTCCGCCAGGGCAGCCGTCGCCCCTCGCCTCCTGGGACGTGAGCGCTTCTGTCGACGTTGCGTGCACACGAGAACCGATGGCCTTCAGCCAAACGGGAAGACGGGGAGACACGTTCAACCCCGCTTCACACACTGACAAAGCGACCTTCAATCGCTTCCCTGGGATTGACAACGACAGACACGATGCCCTCCCGCCTAGCTTATCCCCCTCCCTCACCCCTACCCTTCCCATGCCCATTGTTGGGCGCCCAATCTCCTTCTCTCCTGGCGGTGCAGGGCAGAGCTGGATCGCTCACGGCGATTCCAGGATCACGGGTGGCGAGGGCCCCACTCCAGAGCAAGTGAATCCCCCGACGGACCCAGGTTCGCGCGGGTCTCGAGCGGACGATCGACAGAGACATGCCCCTGACGATCGACCCAGGTGCCTCAACGACGAAGACGGGGGGGCTAGGGTGGGGGCCCCAGAGGATGACCGCGGGTGTGGCAGGAGGGAAGACGTGCACACGCCTGCCCTCGGACCCGACTCGCATCACAGAGGCTTGCGCCCTCGCTCCGCCGAGCGCCCCCCCCTTGATACTCCCATTATGAGAGAGGCTGCCTTCAGCTGCGAAGGGGCCAACCCTGCCACCTCGGAGACCCATGCCCACGCTGCGCAGCCGACTTCCCCCGCGGACGTTGACAGAGGGCTTGATGGCTATCGCCGCACCCCCGCCACCCCCCGCGAATGCAGCATAATGGACATAGAAGATGGGCCTGCAGCCCTTGGAGCGACCTGTGAAACAGCAGATCACACGGAACGAGCCTTCAGCTCGAGGCTCCAAGGCACATCGAGCAACCTCAGAAGCGACGAACCTTCAGCTCGAGGGACGGAGACGGCACCAGCGGTCGTCGGGAGTGCCGCTGAGCAGGTGGCCATAAGCGGCGACGCGAGGCGCCGCGCGCCCGCCGCCCTTCCTGGAGTTGGCAGCACTGCGCACGTTGAGAATGGGCCTTCAGCCCGAAGAGCTCCCAGTGAGACAGCAGAGAGCGATCCTGCAGCTTGGGAAGCCCCAAGCGGAGTGGTCGGCACCGACGGCGACGCTGCGACCAAGCGAACTCCCTGGGCACTCCCGCAACCCCGAAGACTTTCGTCAGCCACCCGCCCCCCAGTCGGACAGTCGCGGACGTGACGAGCCTTCAGCTCGAGACTCTCAGGCGGAACGAGCTTTCAGCTCGAGGGTCCAAGGCGCATCGGTTGACCACAGAAGTGACGAGCCTTCAGCTCGAGATCCAGAGACAGTGCCAATGGACCTCGAGAGTGGCGCATTCGTGACCACGAACGGAGACGGCGGCGGCGACGCGAGTCGCCGCGCGCCCGCCGCCCTTCCTGGAGTTGACAGCACTGCGCACGTAGAAAATGGGGCTTCAGCCCGAGGAGCTCCCAGTGAGACAGCAGTTTTGAGCGATCATGCAGCGTGTGACGCTCCAAGCGGACTGTTCGGCACCGACGGCGGCGCCACGACCAGTCAACTCCCTGGGCCCTCCTGTAATCCCGAAGACTTTCGTCAGGCACCCGCCCCCCAGTCGGACGGTTGTGGACATGACGAGCCTTCAGCTCGAGATTCTCACATGGAACGAGCCTTCAGCTCGAGGGTCCAAGGCGCATCGGTTAACCAGAGAAGTGACGAGCCTTCAGCTCGAGATCCAGAGACAGCGCCAATGGACTTAGAGAGAGGCGCAGAGGCCGTGACCACGATCGGAGACGACGCCGACCCTCCTGGGACTCCTGGTGTTCCCGCGCTGGGTCCCCCCCAGCAGGGGGGGCCTCGCGCCAGCTGCGGGAGACCGACCGACCACGCCGACCCCGACGTTGACGGGACCAGCCCTGCCATGGGACCACCCCTGGGAAGGCACGCCGAAGGCCATGCGGCAGGCGCAGACAGCAGTCCCAACAGGTCCAACGGCTTCCGCCTTGACTCCGCCGCCCCCCTCCCTGGAGACACGGGCGCGGACGCCAGAGCCTCGCCCAGCCTCCGCGCCGATGACCTCACAGCAGAAACTGGTCTTCAGCCAAGAGGAAGAGAGCGAGACACGGGTGGGCCTGGCAGCAGTGGCCGCAGAGAGGCGCCCCCCCCGCTGAGACGACCGACCGTAACCGACCTTCCCTGGGAACGACGACGGGGTTGTCCATGGGACGGCCGCACGCGCGCAATGCCAACCGTGTCTCTGCTGATCCAGCCGTCGGGACAGGTTCCCTGTTCGATTGGATCGATCGCATCGGACCTCTGATCGCTGCCGCGGGATGGCCTCGCGCCAACCTCACAGAAGAGACTGGCCTTCAGCCAGGAGGAAGAGAGCGAGAGATGAGTGGACCTGGGAGCAGTGGCCCCAGAGAGGCACGCCCTTCCGCGGAGACGGCCGACCCCAACCGACCTTCCCTGGCAACGACGACGGGGTTGTCCATAGGACGGCCTCGCGCCCCCAACGCCTACGGGGTCTCTGCTGATCCCGACGTCGGGACAGGCTCCTTGGTCGATTGGATCGATTACATCAGACCTCCGATCGTTGCCGCGGGATCGCCTCGCGCCTTCTTCCCCTCGTCCTCCTGCTCCCCTCCCAATTGTTCCCCTCCCGACCCGCCCCCTGGGCTGCCCGACCCGCCCTCCGACCCCTCCCCCGACCTTGCCCTGGAGGAAGAACTGCGGAGGGAAAACCAGAACGCCCCCTCGGAAGCTGAGGACCCCAGTCAAGCCCAGAGAGACAGAGGGCAATACGCTGCCGACCTCCACGCTCGATGGTTGGACGCCACAGGACACGCGAATGCTGACTGGGCAGCCAGTCGGGAGGCGGACGGACCCATGTGCGGCCCGCGCGTGGCGGGCGCTAGGGTCACTGGCAGGGGGGGCACAATGAACGCCCTCCGCCGTCGCCTAATACGCATCGACGGCCCCTGGCGCAACTTCCCCGACCGAGGGGCACCGGGGACCCCGCGCGAGACCAGTAACCTGGAGCTCCTCACGCACCATGCGCGGAAGGGGGCATCGCCCAGGCCACCAAAGCATACGAGCAGGCAGCCCCATGCGCGCGGTTCCAGCAGAAGTGCCTCTCCCTGGACTTGTGTCGCAGCGAGCGACCTCAGCCCCGACCCCCGCTATCCTGGACCTCTCCTGGCTCGTTTGGTCCATCACGGGAGGCGACTACGAAGGGCGCCTTGGGGGTGTGCAACCAGACCCGATACAGGTCCTCGCCTTTCGCTTTGCGAGCATCACCCATGACCCCAGTATAAGAAGGGAAAGATTGGACGCCGATAACCCCTCCGTGGCGAAAAGGCAACTAGCGCGTCTCGAATATGTGGCCATGATTACTGCAGCGCGCTACTGCGACATAGGCATGGAGCTCCTGAGTGGATTCGACACAGACAGGATGCTCACGCCCACTAGAGCTCCCAACGACGCAGTGCCACCGCACAGTAGCGGCCCCAACCGACCAGACGGGACCCAGGACCCCATGGATGACGAAATCAGGGAGTATGCGCACAGAGTCCTAATCCATGAGCGCAGACAGAACATAGTGCACTTTCCGGACCATGGGGACATCAGGCAGTGGGCCATCTTGAGGGGAAATCTTGGACGGGTTGGGGACGACGTACACTCGAGACGACAAGCAGGTAGAGGCCCAGTACCATGGGTAGAGCCTGCCCTCACAGGAGTAACTGCCAGCTCAATGGGCATCCCTGGGGTACCGATTCAAGGGGGCGACAGTAACGACAACGCATGGCCCTGGTCCACCACATCGCATCGACTACTGTTGCGGGACTTTTTCTGCCCGACCCAGCGATGCGACTTTTGCGGTTCCTGGATGCTCCGAGACCCCACTGGACGATGCTGCATCACATGCCACAGGATGGCTAACCCATGGAGCTACGACCAGAGTGAGCGGCAATCAGGCAACCCTCCGCAGGGCCAACAAGATGCAGGCCCGGAACAGCCACTCAACAGGCACGCGCTCGACCTTCTGGACACCACTTTGCTGTTGCAGCTTGTCAGAGCGGGCATGCGGTACGCCCCAGTCGCAGAGCACCTCTACTCCCCAACCCAACCTGGCCCCTCTGACTTCACCCCGACCTGGCTCGTGGGCGAACTCCTGGGAGCCTGGAGACATATGGTGGCCCAAGCCTCAGGCCTGGCTGAAATCTGGGCGTACGAAGGCACCATAGCCCTCGAAGACTTTGGAGGCGATTGGCAACTTCGCACAGCAACGGTCTCCCTCGCCTTACTCTGCTCCGCGCCAGACTCCTGGGCCCTTAATGTCTGCCAGAAAATACGTCGCGTCCTCAGGACCTGCCCGGAAGGACGACTAGATGGCTGGTTCCCTCCGCATCTCTATCACGTCGACCCGAGCACGTACCCACCATCGCACTGGAGGGGCCCCCCGTCGAGCAGGACAACCGCGACTGTCGCGATAGGGCCGAACACCGTGATACACCTGGACGACCTCCGCTGGCTGAGTGCCACCATTGGCGGGGGCCACCTTGACCGCGCCATAAGCGACGCACGAG